TATGCAGAAGAAACTTTTGTTTATATTATCAACAGCCAATTGTAACCAAAAGGTTTGACTGTTTGTAGAATTTAGGGGGCTCACAGAAACATCCACATTTAAAGTAGCACTTGAATAGACAGTATCCACTGTGGCCCCCTTTTTAAACTTAATAAAAGAATATTGTCCTGAATCTTGAGGATGAGCTGAGTATTTATACATTCCAAAATTTATAGTATCCCATTGAGACTGGTCTGTAATATTTTTCCATGGTCCCTTCCTGAATACCAGACAGAAAATTTATTGGTTTTCTTTGAACCATCTGATAGGGCCAATTATTGGATGCTGACAGGAGTAAGTAAAATTTAATATTAGTGGGGATCCTGTAACAGCAGGTCCTACCTAGGCTACAAAGGGGTGCAAGATTGGTTGAGGCTAGCATAGCTACAACCCAAGGATGCATATATATTACAACAGGTAAAAATTATTAGCATAATGTTTAACAAATAAAAATAACAAAAATAAATAAATAAATAAATAAAATAACAAGAAAAAGCAATAAGAAGTTAATGACAAAACCTTTGGAAATTTTAATTTTAAAGGGTCCATGCTCAGTCACTTTCTACCTTTGGCAGCTAGATTCTCCTCAAGGTTCTGCAGGTGCCTTCTTGAGCTGAGAATGATGAATCCATGCAGGATTCCAGCAACATTAATGGCAGTAGGAGTGCAGAGAATCAGAATATAAGGGCATTTTCACCTGGTTTGGAGGCTGTTAGTTTTCAAATGTTGTATCAGCACAGCATCGCTGGATTGGAATGATCAGGTGATCTGGTCCAACAGGCTGAGCAGCCTGAACCTGAAGAAAGATCTTATCCATGAATAGTTGTGACCCTTTGAGTGCCTCTGAGATTGGAATGTCTTCCAGCAGATCTAGGTGTATTCTGGGAACCATAGGTGGTGGCTGCCCATAAATTATTTCATAAGGAGTAAATTTTTCCACGATAACCAGTGCAGTAGGCCCTCAGTAGGGCAAAAGACAGGAGATTAACCCAGTTACCACCAGTCTCAAAGATTAATTTATTCCCTGTTTCCTTCAGTGTTCTATTCATCCTTTCTACCTTCTCTGAGCTTTTAGGTTGGTATATACAACCTAATTTCCACTTTATATTAGGGGCCTTTGAAATCAATTGAGATAATTTGGCCATGAAGGCTGGGCCATTGTCAGACCCCCAAATTAGAGGAAGGCCAAATCTAGGAACAATTTCAGTTACTAGTTTTTTTTTTTTAATCTACTATTTGTGCCATTTCCAACAAGGTTAGAAAAGCTTCTGCCCAGCCAGAGACAGTTTCAACAAAGACCAACAAGTATTTATATCTACATAATCCAGGTTTAATTTCAGTAAAGTCTAATTCCCCAAGTTCACCAGGTACAATACTTTTAACTCCTGCTTCCTTGTGGAAGTTGGTTCCTTTTAGGATTTATCTGTGCACATGTCATGCAACAATTTGAGATATCTTGAAGCATCCCTTGATGTCCCAGGATCCATAGGATGAGATTAATTCTGACATCTTCTTGGGGGGATAAATGCATGGCTTGATGAAGATCTTTACCATTTTCTCCCTAGTAGCTTAGGTATGCAGATTTTTCCATCTTGGAGGTTCCACCAGCCATGAAAGTTTTGTTGGGCCCCCATCGAGGAGTATAAGTTTATTTCTTCTGTAGTATATGAAGGGGCCTCCTCCACAATTTTAACTGAAAATTTTGGAAAATTGGAGAGTTTTAGAATAGTCTGGTATTTTGGCTCTCCAAGGGCTATTTCCCTGGCCGTTTGATTGGCCAAGTTGTTACTCTGGGTAACATCATTTGTGGTGTCCAGGCCAGTGGATAATAGCTACTTTATCTGGCAACCAGATAGCCTCTAGTAATTGAAGAATTTCCTGTTTAGGTCTTACCATCTGAAGTTAAAAGTCCCCTTTGTTTATATATCTGTCCTTGCACATGTGCTGTAGCAAAAACATGGTGGCTGTTTGTGTAAAGTTAACCTGTTTTCCTTCTGCCTGCGTTACAACAATGATTTCTCATTTTGGGGTTGATGAGCCCTTGGGAAAAGCCTGTGCCTGAATAACTCCTTTTTGGCCCGTAACTACTGCTGCTCCCGCATACCTTATTCCATCCTGGACATAGCTGCTGTCATTGGTGTAAAGGTCTGCATCTCTGACAGAGAGGAGATTGTCAGTCAGGTCTAGTCGAATACCTTGGATGACATCCCGCATCTCTGAGCAGCCATGAATTGGCTCCTCCAGGTTGTTGTGCAGCAGCAGGGTTGCTGGATTGATGCCCAGGAATTTATTAAATGTTAATCTCTCCTTTCTAGGAGGAGAGCCTGTTGAGTGAGGCGGGCATTTGTCATCCAGTAATTTGTGGCATCCCTCAATAGATCTTCCACTGCATGCTTGGCAGTCACAGAGTCTGGCCCAGAGTAAATTTGTCTGGGTCCTTCACCAGGAGTGCAATAGCCACTATGGCTTGTCAACAATGGGTCCTCCCTGATGCTACCATATCAAGCCTTTTTTGAAATGTAGGCAATTTGTCTTTTCCATGGCCCTAGATTTTGGGTTAGAACTCCCTTTGCAATGCCCCTTTTCTCATGAACATACAGATGGAAGTGCTTAGAGATATCAGGGAGGGTTAGGGCAAGTACCAGTACCAGAGCCTTTTTTAGATATTTAAAGGATTCTTCATTTTCTTTAGTCCAAGCTAAAGGTGAGCTGCCTCCTGCAGTTACAGTATATAGAGGCTTGGCAATCTCAGCAAATCCAGGTATCCAAAGGTGGCAGTACCTGACTGCCCCTAGGAATTCCCTAACCTGATTTTTAATAGTTGCAACTGGGATCTTCATTATGGCCTCTTGGGACAGCAGCCTTTTCTCTTCCATCAGTTCATATCCTAAATAAGTAACTTGAGGAGAACAGATTTGTGCTTTCTTTTTGGAGACTCAATACCCCAATTGAGCCAAGGTCCTCAATATGCCCTAGGTTGCCCTTCAACAGTCCCTTTCATCCTGTGCTGTTAGCAAAAAATCATTCACATATTGAAGCAAGGTTATCTTGGGGTACTCACTGCAGAAGAGGCTCAAATCTTTCTTGTTTTATCAAAGACAGTGGAGGAACTCTTAAGTACCTGAGGTAGTCCAGGTTGGTTGTCCCTGATATCTCCTGCTCCAGGTCAGTCCATTCAAATGCAAAGATAGGCCGACTCAGTTTTGACAAAGGAATGGAGAAAAATGCATCTTCCATATCTTATACAGTGTAGATCCTATGTATCTGGGGGCAACAGACTGAGCAACGTATAGGGGTTTGGGATGGTTGGATGTATGGTTTCTTCCCATTTGTTTACTTCCCTTAAGTCCTTCATGAGTCCCAGGCTTTTGGACAGGTAGCACAGGGATGTTCCTAGCTGACTGACATCTAATTAGTAATTCGTCTTCTAGGAGAGATCTAATATGGGTTTTGATTCCTTCTCTGGCTTCAGAGCTGATGGGGTATTGTCTAACCTGAGTTGGCATAGCTCCAGATGTTAGTTGTATTATGACTGGTGGCACATGCTTGGCTAACCTAGGAGGGTTATCCTCGGACCAAACTGTGGGGATTTCTTGAATTGATAGTTTTTTTTTTTCATTTTACTTCTGATCTTGGATATGATTTTGAGAGAGAAGATATTCCTCACTAATGAGCATATTACATTTAAGGCTCTTGTAGGACTCCCCAATTGTAGTGTAGGCATATCCCCTGAAAATGGTATAGTTGCCTGAAGTTTGCTTAGAAGGTCCTGTCCCAGAAATGGGAAAGAGCATTCAGAAATAACAATGAAAGGGTGAGTCACCGTTTCTTGTCCTACAACAACAGTTCAGTCAGTGGTCCATTTATAAATTCCCCTTGTACTTCCAAAGTTTTATGAGTGAGGAGTCCTCGGGGCTTCTGCAAAACTAAATGTGAAGCCCCTGTATCCACTAAGAAATTTACAGAGTGGCTCCCAATTGTGAAGGTTACCATTGTCTCTCAGGAGACTAGTTTGAAAGAGCCACAGTCTCCCTATTCTTCTAAAGTTAGAGCTGGTTTTGGCTGAGGGCCTCTGGCCTACAGCTGGGGAAAGTATTTTTGATTATGTTGGGGGCATTTATTTTTACAGTGTCCATATTCCCAGCAATAAGCACACTTGATCTATTCAGAGGGGAGTCTGTCTTTAGCTTCTGCTGTGTGCAGTCTTCATCTGTCTGGGATTGAAAATTTTGGGAGACTGTAGCACAGCCACTGTGGCCTGATTTACTTTATCAGTAGATCATCCTGGCTGTCTTTATTTTCAAACACCTTTTGGGCTCTCTCCAATAGCTCTGACCTGTTCTTCCTGGCAAAGTTATCTATCTTTTGAATACTTTTATGGATGTCTGGGGCCAACTAAGTTACAAAAGCCAGGTTAATCACCCTCTTGGTTGAGGACTCCCAGGGAGTTTTTCTAGTCACAATAAGGGCTTGCCCTCCCTGTCCATTCTGGACCATACAAACCTTCATCCATGGGGATGGATTAGTTGTAGCTTCTGCCCAGGTTAGAATATATCTTATCAGATATGGGAGGCCAGGATTACCAAGAGTGGCATTATTTATAGCCCATGCCACCTGGGGATTAAAGGTGCCCTCAGGGGGCCAGCCAACTCCAATGGAGAGCCATTCTGCCTCACAGAAAGTTCGGAGCCAATTCTTGGTGATGTGATAATCACAGTCCTGCTTAACAAAAAGGGGGTAATGTTTATCAAAGTTTTTTAAAACACAGCTCAAAGTGGTGTCAGGTTTACTTCCTTTATTACCCATTTTGATGTTCAATTATCTTAAGTTTTTACAAAAGAAGACACACAACAGAAGGCAGAAAAACATAAAGAACACAGAACAAGATACAAGAAAATAAGAATCAGGTACCAAAACCAAGGGAACAGTGCAATATGTTGAAAATGCTCCCAGACAGGAGTGTGTGCCTACTGGGTCAGGTACCTCACTGTCCTTCAAGAGGAATTCTCTACCAAACCAGAAGGGAGAGTGTCATTTCACTACTGTCCTAAAAAGGAGTTTTATGTGCCTTGACAGACACTTCTCTATCTTCTGAAGAGATCTCTCTTAACCAAATACCAGATGTTATAAGCACACCACATAATTAAGCCTCCCCCACCAATTTCTTGCTAATTGTTTTAGTGTGGCAGTTCACTCCAGCAATCTGTGAAAACAAAGGCCCACTCTGGGGGCCTTAGAATGTCTCAAGGTTTGCACCTGGAGTTCCAGAGTGAAGGTTGGGCTTTAGGATTTTGGCATTCTGATCTCACTGGGGCCTCCAAATGTTAAACCAGAATGTAAAGTCTAGACCACCAACTCCAATTTAATTCAGATTACAGCAAGTTTGTAACTCCAACCAGCCGGGGTTGTCTCTCCCCAAAACCGTGGAAGTAGAAGAAAACTCTGAAGCTCTCTAGGAGCACATATTTATAGCACAGAAAGTTGCAAAAAAGTGAGGGTGTATTGAGAACTTACACATAACAGAATTTTGACAAGCGTAACCCAAAGGCAGGTAGTAGGTTAAAGGACTAAATGGTTAAGCACTTAGGGAGTAAATTTATATCCCAACATCAGAATTTATGAGACACCACTAAAGTTTCAGAGAGGTCATTATCTGGCCAGAAAAAAAATAGAATTTATGAGGCACCATTGTTATTTGCTCAGAGAAAGCCAGACATTGGTGAGTTCACAAAATGGCATTCCAAGAGAGTTTAAAACATTAAAATATGGTCAGGCTAAATAGAAATTCTAATATTTTACAAAAATAGAAATAAATCCTTTAAAAATTATGAAAAAGATGGCTCCTAATCTTAAGAGGATATTAGGCTGGATAGACCAGGAAACCTTATCAAGTGGAGAGCTTTGACTTCCTCAAAAACCTTGCCCTTAGTGAGGTTTCTCAGTCTGAAAGATGGGATAGGTCAGGGACTCGAAGCAAGAAGGTCTGACAGAGTCCAGGTAGGTCATGGCCCCCTGTACACCTAGCATTCCTTATTTGTCAAAGGTGAAAGGGGGCTCTCAGGCTCCCTGCCAAAATAGATTGGACTGAATCAGAAGACTATGAGGCACATCTTTGAGGAGAGTGGGAAGGAATGAATAAATGAATGAGCCAAGTCAAAGAGATGAATGAGAAAAATTCAGGTTCTAAGCAACAGCTGTCAGTAAGATTGCCTATTTTCTTTTCAACCTCAGTGGGAGTGCCAGGATACTATGGATTTCTGGGGCTGTACTCTGTGATCACTGTGGGCTGAATTCTCTTTCTGTGCTAGAAGGGGAAACCGAAGAAATATGCCTAGAAATGAAAGAGCTGAGAGCCACTGCCTTCATTTAAGACCACTCTTATACCGGAGAAACAAAGGACGGCAATGTGGCATGAATGCAACTATCAACACAGGCCCTTCCCTGGCTGGTTCCCAAAATGACATTCAAGTCGAGATTCCAGATTCCCTGTGGCAGTCGGACACCTGTGAAGACAGGCACTATGCTATCAGAGGAAGCAGCGCCAAGGCACAGGCTCCTATTCCCTTGCAAGCTACTCTGCTGACTACACAGCAGCTCTTATCTAACTCAATGCCACAGTGCCAGTCCACATCCCCACTCCTGATTATGTTTCAGGAGATACCTTTTGATCCACCCCTCTGCATGCTGAACCTTCCTCCCATGCTGAACCACTCTGCCGCCTACTCCTGTCTCCACTGTAAGTGGAATGGAATGTACAATCCCATTTCCTTCCCACTTTAGTTCTTGGGATGAAGGTTACAATGCATACTTTTTGCTTTAGAGTTTTAGCGTGTGCTCCCTGAAGTTGAAAACTTTAGGTACCAGGGCTATTAGAAAAGGGAGCAACTTCAAGTAATTGACAATGACACAGAGATCAGTGCCCCTGAAGAGGTTATAATAGTAAATGTTTTGGAAATAGTCAGAGTCACTGCATCTCAATGGGCTTAAGTGGGCAATGCCCTCCCTCTCTAGGATGGGGGAACAGGTCTCACCAATACAATGAGATTTGGAGGGTGGCTGGGAAAAGACACATTGAAACAATACTTGTGGAGGAGCTCAGTTCTCTCCACCCATCACTGGAGCTCCCATGTGTGCAATCCCCTAGAAAAGGTCCCCATAGGCACTGCTCTTCAGCAGCATGGGAAGTGGATATTGAAGATCTTTCACTTCCTGAGAGATGTGTGATTAGCCTGGTCTGGGAATACTTGTTACTAGGTAAGCTGATACCCAAAGAGAGTTACCACAATATTATGGAACACAAAAGGTTAGGACCAGGCCTCCCATTGTCCTTCTATTGCCCAAACCAAAGGTTTCAAGGAAGGCTACATGACTCTTCCAAAACAAATCATTCTTGTCAAAGGAGGCGTCGAAGCCCTTATACTCTAGTGCCTTCCTTATGACCATAATGGAAAGAAATGCATCTCCTCATATTACAGACTTAGGTCCCTTCCCAAAGTCAAGCACCCTTCTGCACCTAAAATCCTACCATTCAATAGGAATACTTTCAGAAGGACTCAAACTGATGTTTCAGTCAATTTTATACAGAAATTCTGGGACCCAACTAGAGCTGGTGGAATATGTTATGTCACTAATGTGTTTGCCTAGCAGGCGGCATCACTGCTGATGAAACCCCTCTCCCACCCACTGTGTGGGAACAAACCAATCAAGTCTGCATGAACTGTGCCCAAGCCAGTCCTCTGCTCACCTTTGTGTGCAGGTCACAGAGGCCTTCCACTTTTTTTTTTTAAACAGTTATCAGTGTATGGCAAACTTATTGCTTCTAAAACAACAATCTGGTATTAATACAGATCATAAGTCATCACTTACAGTACAGAGTTAGTGTGAATACTGGAAGGAGGCATTATATACTAACTCTGATTAAATGGAAGGAGTAAGTGTAAGATTATTGATATGATGTATAGATTGGAGAGATGAGAGGACCCCAGAGAACAGGAAGCAATCCTGTGCACCTTCTGCAAAGCCGAGGGTCCTTGCAGACACAATTGTCCCCAGTACTTTCTGGATTCCGATTGGTTTCACACAACACATTTTCATCTGTTTGATTTCTTCTGCACTTTGGTCTTTCACCTTCTCCATGTTAAAGACAGAACTCAGAGGCTGAAAAAGAGACAATAAGAAACAATTAACATCTAGGGTAGAAAGAATAACAACAAACACCCCTCTACACACCTTGATTCTTGCTCTAAGGCTTGTTGTAAATAGCCTGTCAGCACAATGGAGCAGATCTTCCAGAAGCACAGGAAAGATGTATGAATAACTGTATGCAGGGGTGGCCTGGGTTTTAGTAAGTGGTTAGAATGTGGCCCTGGCATGTATGAAGCCCTGGTTTCAATGCTGTACAAACAGGATCAGTTATTACATTAAGTAACTAAGTAATTCCAAAGAAAAACTGTATGAGGTGCACAACCTCCAGTGATTTTTCACCTAAGAACTCACTTCTTTATACTCTAACACTTCTATACCTAATGCTGAGAATTATGGATTCAGAAAGAGATTGTCCCTGACCAAGATTATGAGGTGCAGAGATGAGAGAGGATTGGTCAATAGCCATTATCTGCTAGTACTGAAGGTCCATTCTAGATGTGTCACTATGAATTGCAGGGATGCCCTGGAAGGAGGAGCTCACTTGAATTTTTTGTGCTTAGCCATTTCACCTATTTCACTTTGAGCTGAAGAGTTGGTAAGAAATAGAAAGATAGCTTTGGAAGAATGATTCTCATTTCGAACAGCATTTCAAAGGGCAGGTGTCCAGAGTGGAATAGAGTCTACTAGTGGGTTGGGCTGGCCACTCCAAACCCTGCCTGTGGGCTCTCTCTGCTCTGCATGTGCCATGGCCCACCTAATGCGGCGAGCCTGCCCTGATTCATACCCTACCCTCTCACAACCAACCCTCTTTGTGTGCCAACCCTTCCCTAGAGGGTTGCTGAACCTGAGGGAGCTCAGGGTGCTTGCTACTCTGAAAATTCTCTTGGCACTCTTATCAGTCAGTCCTCTACCATTCTCACATGTGCTCCTTCTGTCTACCTTGGTTTCTAGGTGCCCTAGATTTTATCAGAATCAGGTAGGCATTATCCTCCTTTCCCAGAGGAAAGCTGAGGCTGTCCTTTCCAATATGCTCCCAAACTCCAGGTACCTTGTGCTTCTTAAAGTCTAATGGCAGCTCCAACCACATGGAACTACTTCCCAGAGTAACCAGGAATTGTGGCTGATGAGTTTTTCTACAGGCTTCTTTTGAATCCTGCAATGAATGTTGCCTCTCTCAACCCCAATGCCACTATCATTTTCACCACTGGGGAAATAAGTAAATCTGATGGACATGGACATCTGTCTCACTTGCTCCCAGCATGAGCAGAACCTCTGTCAAGGCACTCATTGGTTTGCATTGTGTGCAAATCTCGCTTAGGCCTGCCTTAGCTGATGGAAACTCCTCCTGAGGCAGAGACAGAGCCTCCTACTCTTGTTCACTTACACTTATACTTATGAAGATCTGATCAGCCCTGTTCTGTGCTGTTTGGAATACAGTAGAGCATTAATAAGTTTAGGTGGGCTGGCCTGTAACTGGGTCGGGATCATTGCAGTTAATCTCACTGCATCCACCTGCAATGACTGCCTCATCATCTCATAAGGCCCTGTTCTCATGTCCACACTTCAAGGGAAACTTTATGGATGAACTCTATCACTCTTTGCACACCTCAATTGTCTCTTTAATTCTACCTCCTTCAATCCCTTCATGGAAGTTTCACTCTCTGAATTGCTTATATCCTTCTTTTCTTTACTTACCCTGGTTTCCATTCCAGTGGATACAGACAATAAATAAATATATGTTGGGTGATAATATTTCCATTCTCGTGGATACAGACAAGAAATAAATATATGTTGGGTGATAATATTGCTATGTTGAAAAACAAAGCAGGCAAAGAAAGGCAGAGATTAAGAGACACTCAAACACAAAACTAAAGGAAGTGAGCAAAGAATGTTTATGAATATCTGAGAGAGAGAAAAGGAAAGGGGGGAGAGACACATAGGAGTGGCAGGTGAAAATTTTCAGGCACTTGGAGGGCTTGTTCAAGGTTTTTCTTTTCCACCTAAGGATGATGGGTGTGTTGGAGCACCTAGCTTAATCTATGCTAATTCTGACTACTGAAGAAAATAGGAGAAACTAAATAATGTCAAGCCACCAAGCTAGGACCAGAGGTACAAGCTACTTTGGAGGCTGCCCTTGGCTTCATGAGCAAATGTTCCTCTGAGCTGGTCAAATGTGAATCCAGATGACTCAGGAGATGCTAAAGAAGTCCCTGAGTTACAGCAACTCTCGGGTGGTGAGTGGAGAAATCCTAACCTCATTACTCCAATATCTGATGGGAGTTGTATTAGACAGGTCTCCAAGTCTCCTCCAAGTGGAGATCATGGAGTTCTGGAAAATCCATAGAAAGCACTATTTGCCACTGAGTTGGGGTATTGACTATGTGGGAGGATGAGGATGTATTCAGTGCTATAAATGTGGTAGAAGGTACTCCTGAGTGCAGAAGCAGTATTAGCCAAAGTCCACAATTCTTTGGGGACTTTGGCATACACAGAAGGCAATGGTGTATGAAGGTTGAGGAGGGAGATGAAGCTGGAAAGAGATACAGAATCACATAAAGGAGAGCACCCACAGGGATGCATGATGCCCAAGAGACACTGGTAGAAGAAAGAAAAGAGAGATTGTTGGAGCCACAGAAGGTTTGAACCACATGGTACTTTGGACCTGTTGACTCCCTGACAACTTGGTCAGAAACTTCTTGAGGGCAGGGCTGTCCAATGTTCACTGTGTTCCCTGCCCCACTCCCCTCTGTAAAATCCATGCAGAGAGCTGGGATTGTGGCTCGGTGGTACAGCACTAGCCTAATATATGTGAGGCATTGTGTTCGATTCTAAGCAGCATGTATCAATAATTCAATAAAATGAAGGTCCTTCAACAATTAAAAATAAAGAGAAGATGAAGAAGGAACAGACAATTCTGTGTTGTAACCATTCTTTGATAGAAGACAACAATGCTCATGACATATCACAAGATGGAGTACCTTCCTTTCATCAACTGTCACCCACTTCACAACCGCCAATCCTGGAATTCTCAGTGCTCAGAACCCGCTGAGCTATTCTTAAGGGCATAATGGGGCTCAGGCCTTCTGAAGACTCCCATTGGTGGAACGAGCAGTTGGGTGAGTTCATTCTTTCCAGAGATGTAGGACTGGTAAGAAGCCTCCAACTGATGGATTCCCCAAAGGAGGACTTAGCCTTCCTGGACATAAGTAGCCTACCTGTCCTATGAGTGTAGGGGAATACCCATTGCATGGCTTCCTGCATGAAGTGCTAAGCAGTTAAGAGGTAGACTCCACTAGAAGAGGAGGGAATCTTCAAAAACAGAGACCATGCTCTTCCAAAACCGAAAAGCCACATGTGAGTCCTTGTCGTGTGGGGAGCTTTGACTTCCTCAAGGACCTTGCCCATTAGTGAAGCTTCTCAGTCAGAAGGATGGCATGGGTCTGGGACTGGGAGCCAGAAGGTCTGACAGAGTATGGGTAGATCATGGCCCCTGTACACCTAGCGTTTCTCATCTGTCAAAGGCCAAAATTGGCCTCTCAGGCTTCCTGCCAAACTAGCTTGGACTCAATCAGAAGAGAATGTGGCATGTCTTGGAGGAAGGTGGGAAGAAATAAATGGATGAATGAACCAAGTAAAGGAGAGAAAGGAGAAAGAGATGAGGTCTCAAGCCCCAGTTGTCAGTCAGCTTGCCTCTTTCTTTTTTAGCCTCAGATTGGGTGCCACTGTACTATGAATTGCTGGGGTTGTACTATGTGATCACTGTGGGCTTCATTTTCTTTCTGTACAGGAAGAGAAAAGTGGAGGAGCATGCCTGGTAGGTTGTGAAAGTACTGAGAGCTGCCACCTTCTCTTACAGCCCACTCCTGTACCGGAGAAACAAAAATGACAATATGGCATGAAGGCAGATATCATCAACACAGGCCCTTCCCCAGCTTGTCCCCAAACTGACATTTGAGTGCAGATTCCAAATTCTCTGTGGCAGTTGGACACCTGTGAAGGCAGTCACTATGTCATCAGAGGAAGCAGCGCCAAGGCACAGGCCCCTGTTCCACTGCAACCTGTGCTGCTGGCCACACAGCAGCTCTTCTCTAACCTGGTGCCAGAGTACCAGACATCTCCACTCCTGATTATCTTTCAGGAGTTACCTTTTGCTCCACCCCTCCACATGCTGAACCTACCTCCCATGCTGGACCACTGTCTCCACTGGAAGTGGAATGGAATGTACACTCCCATTCCCTTCCCACTTTAGCCCTTGGGTTGAATGATTCAATGCATAAATTTTTGCTTTAGAGTTTTAGCCTCTGCTCACTGAAGTTGAAAACTTCAGGTACCAGGGCTATTATAAAAGGGAACTAACCTCAAGCAATTGATATTGCCACTGAGGTCAGAGCCCTGGTAGATGTTATAGTAGAAAATGTTTTGGAAATAGTCATTCGCGTCTCAATGACCCTTAACTGGGCAATGCCCTTCCCCTCTAAGATGGGGGAAAAGGTTCTTAACAATAAAATGAGATATGAAGGGTGGCTGGGAAGAGGCACATTGAAAGAATTCCTTCACTGGAGCTCCCATGTGTGCAACCCCCTGGACAATGTCCCCAGAGCCTCTGCTCTTCTGCACCATTGCAAGTGGATATTGAAGGTCTTCTACTTTCTGAGAGATGTGCAATTAGCCTGGTCTGGGAGTACTTGCTTCCAGGTAAACTGATGCTCAAATGGAGTTACCAGAAGATTATGGAGCACAAAAGATTAGGACAAGTCCTCCCATTGTCCTTCTGTTGCCCAAACAAAAGATATCACTGAGGCTATATGACTCTTCCATACCGAATCATACTTATCCAAGGAGGGGTCGAAGACCTCACACTCTAGTGCCTTCCTTATGAGCATCTGAAAAAAATGCATCTGATATAGAGTTAAGTCCCTACCCAAACTCAAGCACCCTTCTGCTCCTCAAATCCTACCATTCAATTGGAACAATTTTCAGAAAAACTCAGCCTGATATTTTAGTCAATTTTA